TCAATCATCCAGCATACCTTCCGCAAGTCAACGGGCTCAATTCTCATGATGTTGAGTTCAGAGCTTGCGGAGGGGGGGATGGGCATGGATGCAAGATGTTGGTACACGATGGAGCTGCTTAGTGAACCTAGCTCTGAAAACACTGACGTACCATGACGTACTCTAAACGCAGATTGAATTCGGGACTGGAGTAGCTGCTTCTGCCCGAACTTCGTTAGAACTTCGACAGAACATGACTCACGTTCGCCATTGCTCCGTTGCTACTCTCGACCCAATCAATGTGGAAGGCAGAACGCTCACCTTCATCGATGCACTCGATGCACTCGACATGCACTTCTAGCCTTGGCAGCCTTAGCCTTGTTTTGTTTCAGTTGAGCCAAGGAGCAAAGAAGCGCCACGCCACGGCGGACCCAGTGGCCTTGATCCTGCAAACCCGGCGAAGGTGCGGAGGGTTGGGAGTCACTTCCGCTTGCACTTCCGGTGCTGCAGGGCTTTCGACATGCGCAGCTTGGCGTTGGCGTCCTGCCTTCAAAGTCCTGCTTAGGTTTGAGGTTGGTTTCTTACGGCTCTTGCTTTCGTCTTCAGGTGGTTTTGAGCGATTTGGCTTTGTGTTTGCAAACTCTCGGGGTGTCATGAAGGTTTGGGTTTTGAGGGCATTCACGGTAGCTCGAAATGATCTGGCTTTTCGCGTCTTCTCTCAGTCATCCTGTTTTCCTTACAGGTCCACCTTGTGAGCGTAACCCGAAACAATCCCGAACAGCAAGACTTCACAAGCCTCTCCAACCTCAAAACTCAACACCTAAAACGACTAAGGCTCCTCCTCGCTGCTGGGCAGCCGGAAAAAGCAAACAAAGTTGGTAGAGTGACCTTCCATTCCAAGGTCAGTTTCAAAGAGGCGCCGAGCCAATTTCTGGACTATTGATACAAGAGGCAGCCGTAGATGTGCTTGCATTGCAGACATTGGCAGACTCTGAAGGGCTACAGTGTCGAAGCTCTGGTGTGAAGATGTATCGACGCTGAGCAGGCTGCAACAGCTCTGAAAAAGAGTAGCCGGAGTTCTGGAATGTTCTGGAAGTTCAGTACGAAGCGCCGGCGCAGTACAGCAAACTATCCCCGACCTTCGCTTGTGAACCATGCTGAACCATGCTGAACCCTCTAACTAGCCGCACTAGCCTCTAACGCGCCATCTCAGCTCATATTAGAAGGCCGTGCTGCCCGTATCTGCCAGTGTGAGAATGACAGTATGCTGCCTGTCGTAGCCAGAGTTCCCTTTCGGAGGGATGTCTTGTACACAGGGCAAATGTACCTGGCCGGCTGTAGTGGGGGTCGCGACAAGCCATGCAGGCTCCAAGCAAAATTCATGACCTCTTGTTTTCTTGATTCTACCGGCATGCTTCCTCTTCATCATCCTTTCAGTATCCTTTCGCCATGCCCTTTGGAGCCCTAGTCCCTTCAGACCCCGCTCTCGCCCCTTCGTAGACGAACCTGAATCCCCTGGTAATCATGACTACAAAAAGCAGATGTCACACTTTAGGCTTCGCTCACTGCGAAGTATGGTGGTCCAACTTGCAACTGCGCAGTCACGCGAATGAGTCCCGTGGATGTCACTGCAATATGAAGAGTCCGCGCATGAGCGAGTAAAGAACAGCAAGAACATTTTTCAGAGGAGCTTTGACTCGACTCATTTGACAACACCCTGCCTGCCGGGCTCAACAGAAACCTTCTGAAAGGTAGCCTGCAGCTTCGAGATACGGCATCTTTTGTTCAGGATTGCCAATATTGCCAATGCAATGATCTCTGCGGTCACGCTCTGGGCTCTCGATAATCTTCGTGCTGGGGTGCGTATGGACAAGGTCATGCTCAATGCCATTCCATTTGGCAGGGGGCCGTGCTACTCTGCATGCACAGCTGGCTGCCTCCTCGACCACTTGGACCCAAATCACTGGCAACTCCTTGAAAAGCACCGCCTGCTTGTACAGCTCGCTTGTCATCATGAATGGGACTCATACTTGCAGCGGTCATTACAGTTGGTTGAACAACATTTTCAACTTATGTAGCATATCTCAGGAGACCGTAGTTCGGATCTGCAGATCTTACAAAGTTCTCTCGTACCTTAAGAAACAAAGAGTGGAAAACATGCTGCGCAGGATCACGGGAGAGATTTCAGGGGCATTGAGCGGCTTTTCTTTCAAGTGGCTCAATATGCTACCCTGTAACAGTAGTGGATTCTTGGGGCAGGTTCAACTGCAAATCCCCAATTCCCCCAACGGCGCCTTTTCAGACTCCACCATCTTCTTTGAGGGCACATCCCAGCCAGCACCCTGAACAGTGCGATGTCTCGAGGCTCTCTCAGCAAACAGTCATAAACATCCTAGAACCAAACGCTGAAGAACTCGATGAACTCGACGCTGCCGCAACGGCACCCGCACCAGCCGTCTGACTCGAACTCCTCCACCCCCTTGCCTGCTTCTCGCAACAAGCGGCAGTGCTCGTCGGCAGTCTCCAGGTCTTGGGGGCTACCAAGGTGACGCCGCAGTCGCTCCGAGTATTGCGTCATCTTGCCGAAAGCGAAAGAACCCAGACCACCCCGCTTGTGAAGCGAAGCCCAGAACAGCGCACACAGACGTAGACCGGGCGCAGCTTCAATGAGGCTCCGAAAATTCAGGCTACAAGCTCGACAGCAAAGACTCGCGAAACAAACGCTCGGGAGAACGTATAGCATGCTTAAGAAGTCAGAACCAAGCTCCGCAGTCATAGAACGATCCCAACAGGTTCCCTTACCAGGGCGGAGGGGGGGAGGCGGCAAGGGGGGCAGGGGGGGGGGGGGGGTAGGGCGGGGCTCACCCGAATCAGTTCAACAGCAACAAGTTGATTTCGCCGGCCGGAAAAGGTGCCCGCCGGTATGAATAAACATTCCAAACGCTACGCTGGAAGCTTGTTGCATCTCTGAGAATGCACCCGGCCCGGCGCTTGTATCGGAGCTGGACGCAAACAGCAAGAGTTGGCTACTGTGTAGGGCCTGAAGTGAACCGAATTACGGAGGTTGAAACTGCGATTTGAGGCAGAACTCGCCAGGTCAAGGAAAGAGAGAAACACATCGATTCAAAGACTCGGACGAGCTGCTTAAGATCGATTGGACTATTGAATATCAATGTGCAACCTCTCAACGCTCTCAAAGCTGGACCGAGGCCTGCAGGAAGAGTCCGTGCACTTTCACTCCGTCGGCCTGAGCAAGGTGAGTGGAGTGCGCGACTGCCTCTACTTGCGCTCTTTGAAAGTCCCGATGTATGATGCCATCCCCACATCTGATCTTTACAGCCCTGATTATATAAACCACTACCCCAAACACTCTACATACCTATCTCGCCAGCAGCCTCCGGCGTGCCAGCGGGACCACGTAGCTTCCAAGACAATCAACAACTTACCCTGGCCAGCCAGTGGCCAGCCAGGGAAGTTCGGCTGCTAGAGGAGCAACAAGAAGAAAGGAATGCATAAGAGAGGTGCAGTTTTTGCTGTTAAAAAAAATTGCCAGGGGAAAACTTGCGCCAAGTTTTGACCAGCAGATTCTGGTTCCTTAGAGGGCTTGGCGGGCTTGCAGCCTCCAGCGTGTTGTTTTGGGAGCTTGTCAAGGGCTGCTGCGTTGCAATGCCTTTAAGGCAGTCCTGGAATGAGATCGCAGGGCTTCGTGCTGGTGGCGGGTGCAGCTTTCCTGGGGGATGGGTCGGTTGCCTCAAGGACACTTAAGTCGTAAAAGGTGCCCCCCCTACATCCCCTTGGTCTGGGGCAGCCACCGGAGGATCCGCCATTCGGGGCTCAGTGCAGGCTGTTGGCTCTTGCCAGAAGACCAAGGCCTCAGAATCAAAGCTGGTCCAGCTCAGAAGCTTAGGGTATACATGGGTAAACCCAGCCCACAATGCTGAGTGCCAGAGGCATAATAGTGGTAAGATGTGACTTGTGGTCCTCACCTTGCTTTATCCCGAGAATGGCCTTAAAATGATCGAGCGACAGTATGTTCACGCAGATCTCAGGTTACTTCTCTCGACCTCTTTTTGGCGACTTTAGCGACACTCTAGTCCTGAGCTTGACGCATCTATCGGAATCTTGGTCTTCCGCGCATGGACCTGCCAGAACCCACCATTCCTGGGGCTTCCGGAGTTCCGGAGCAGGGGGAGATCAAACTTGATCAAACCCAAGAAGCACCTCAAGACTTCTGCCAATCGCCAGCCTGCTTGGAGCAAGTCATGAAGCCCTGCGGGAAGTAGAAGCATGGAACCTCCCAGTTTTGCCTACTGCCCGGATCACTTCCATACCTAATGCAATACAATATACGAGTAATAGTAATATCATATATCCGATCACCATTTAGATAGCGCACCAGAACTTGTCAGGCAATGCTAGCTGCTGGCTGCTGAGGTGCAGAGCTGAAGAAACAAGTACATATTCTTTTGCACGTCCCACAGCAGCTCTGTTGATGTGACCAGTAAACTTAGAAGACTGGAGAGCGAAAATCCTCGCGTCCAGAGTCTGTTGCCTGCCCTCATTTCCAAAATCTTGTTTTTGACCATCTTTTTTTCATTATTGCAACTACTGTGCTGATTCTGATGTTGAAGGTTTTATGATTCTCCTTATGAATCTTAGTATTGTTATGCTTATCATGCGTATTATGCTACTCTTTATGCAAAGAGTTTAGGCGGCCGACGTCTCCCTTGAGGCGCGGGCCCAGTAGCTGGAGGGCGGACCCATCTTCAGCCAACGGGTCATGAAGTCCACGCGCTCCTGCGAAGCCAATCTTCCTGAGAGTTTTAGCGTTTAGGGTTCAGTTTCATGGTGAGCCACATTGAGCCACACTGCCACTCATCAGCCGTAACATCCATCGTCAAGGTTCAACATGCTGAACAGGCCGTGCTCGCTGCGCACCCTGTCACAGCCCATCCTTAAATCTTGTCAAGCCTTTTCGAGACATCACCCTACATTAACTTCAGTCCTCGAAGTCGGAGAACCAGGAGTTCAATGGTTTCAGGCAGGGGTATGAAACCTACAAGCACGCCAGCAGTAACGGTTGCACAGCGGAGAAGATGCCGACACCGCTAAGAAACAAGCATGCGGACAGCTGCTGCACTGTGATGCTTATTCCAAAAACTGCTTGACCGACTTAAACATGCAGTCTGGAGAATCCAGCCCAATAAGTATCGCTGTCCTGAACATCATGTCACGCCATGCGCTTACGAAAAGTAATATACTCCCTGGTCCAGAATTGAGCCTCGTCCCAGAGGGGTGGCAACTTCTGGGACAAAAAGCAGTTGTACATGTCCTGCCAAGTCAGAAATCCCCATTGGGACAACGGGGCTAGTGCGTGCGTGCGTGCGTGCGTGCGTGCGTGCGTGGGTGTGTGTGTGTGTGTGTGTGTGTGTGAGTGTGTGTGTGTGTGTGTGTGTGTGTGTGTGTGTGCGTGTGTGCGTGTGTGCGTGTGTGCGTGTGTGCGTGTGTGCGTGTGTGCGTGTGTGCGTGTGTGCGTGTGTGTGCGTGTGCGTGTGTGCGTGTGCGTGCGTGTGCGCGTGCGGGTGCGCGTATGCGCGCGCGGCGCGCGCGCGCGCTGCGCGTGCGCGCGTGGCGCGTGCGCGCGCCGCGTGCGAGCGCGTTCGCGCGCCGTGCGCGCGCGGGCGCGGCGGCGCGGGCGTGCGCGCGCAGCGCGCGCGCGCCGCGGCGTGCGCGCGCGTGCGCGCGCGCCCGCGGCGTGCGCGCGTGCGCGCGTGCGTGCGTGCGTGCGTGCGTGCGTGGGTGTGTGTGTGTGTGTGTGTGTGTGCGTGCGTGCGTGCGTGCGTGCGTGTGTGTGTGTGTGTGCCAGTGCCAACCCTGTCAGCAAGGGAGTAGCTTGCCTGTGTCTTTGATGATGTAGTTGCAGGGGTTGTGTTCGAAGCTTGATTGATTGAGTGCAGCCTGTTGGTTTCTTGATGCTTCAGTCTGTTGCCGAGTGATTGCAGACTGTGAGATGCCTGAGCGAGTTGATTGAATGCCTCAGCCTGTTGGTTGTTTTAGCCTGTTGCCGAGTGCTTACAGAATACGAGACGCCTGCAGCGATTCTGACACGCGCATGTTCTAGTTGCTCTCACTTTGAGGTCAAGTATTCTTAGTATTTTCGAGACGGACAAGGAGGACGCCTGGCATATTTGCCACATATTTCGCGCAGAGTCCAGAACTGCTGAGGATGAGCCTGCTCAAGCCAAGAACTTGATTCGACCTTTTAATTTTAGAAGTTCTGGTTCAGCCTGTCGAGTGATTGCTGTGCGAGCCTGCTGCTACTTGTCAGCCGAAATCCACAAAACTGACCGTTCGAGTAATCAGTCTGCGAGTGCTTGTGCTCGAACCTTGATTGATTGATGCAGCCTGTAGATTACTTGATGTTTCATCCTGTTGCTGAGTGATTGCAGACTGTGAGACGCCTGCAGCGAATTGATCGAATGCCTCCGCCTGTTGATTGTTTAGCCTGTTGCCGATTGCTTACAGACGCCTGCAGCGATTTTGAGATGTGCATGCTCTGGTTGCTCGCATTTTGAGACCTGATTGTAGCCGAGGTCCAGCAAGTAGAAAACGCACCTGCGCGATTCGGTCTGACTGATTGCGAGCGATTGCGAGTGAATGTACCTGCACGATTTGTGGATGATGAACATGACTTCATTCCAGTCCTTTCTAAATTGATTTGATTTGCTCTTGATTTGCTCTTGACGGTTAGGGAGGAAGCTTTGTGCTAAGCCAAAGCAGGGGCGGCAGGCCCGATGCACCTACCTGACGCAACGAAGCTACGGTGCATTGGGGGGAGGGTGACCTGTTCAACCACCTGTACCTGTTTGTGACATCCGTACAATGTATGCCGTGCATGGTGCTTCTATCATGTGATATCTTGGCTGTGCAACCCCGAAAAGGTTTTTACCCCGTGATGAAATCGTTTGCAAATTGGTTTGCGTTTTTATGTGATGCCGCTCGGCATGCGTTTCATGTTCCTTGGGTTGCAAGCAGATGGTGGCGTCGAGAGAGAAAATTGAATCAGCAGCAATCTGCATTGCAAAAGTGTGTGTGTGTATGTATGTATGTATGTGTGTATGCATATGTGACATGTGCTCGGACAATCGGCTGGAGCTTCCATTTTGGAACGTCGCTCCGTCTGATACGCGGCGAGTAGCTGGAACTTGGAACCGGGATGCTTGGCAATCGAATGCATTGTCCAAGCTTGCTTACTCAGCCCACAGAGGATCTGCGATACACGCCCATGCCACTCTCTTAAGATTGAGGTATCGCTTTTGGGCGGGGGCTATCGCTTTCCGAGGTTTCAGGCATGAACGTGGGTTTTTATCTCCGCCTAAGGAAACCTCTTGCAACGTAATAAACGTGGTCGCTCATAATTATGTATATATATATATGTATGTGTGAGTTTGTGTGTATATATGTGTTGGTGTTTCAGTTTCATCTTAGGGGTGCTCCAAACACGGCACAACTACGCACTGCTCATTGTGGGGTCAGCTCAACACTAGGATGGTGCTCTGCCTGGGGGGCCGCCAAGATGGAGCCGCAGACGTTTTTCTTGTTGCTTCGATTCTCTTCGATTCTACTTTATTATGTCTCGGGCTTATTCAGGGCTTATTCACCACAGGGCTTTCCGAGCATTCTACGACTCGGCAGGCTACGTTGCTGAAAGTGCACAATGTACACCGTGACCATGCACACCGTGACGATGCACACCGTGTCCGGCAATCCCTACGCCCTACCCCATTTGGCGGCGAGAACTTTTCCGGGGTTGAGAGCGCCGCGTGTCCTCCAACTGCGCAGACATCACCACGAAGCCCTTGATGGCTCTGCCCAGTGTCACCAAGGTGTCCTGTACCTACGAATTTCTTTGTGAAGTGGGAACGATGATCGAACTGAATGTAACAGATTCTTGCCTCTCACAGATCCATGAGAACAGCCGTGTCATCCGTTCAAACCGAGAAATCTGAATATCAAGGAGCGTTGAACTGGACTAGTGTACACCGACCGTCTGAGGCTGCAACACGGCTGATCAGCACGTTGAAGCGGTCCATCTCCTGACAAAGCAGAGTGAGGACTGCAGCCAAACTGTCCACTTGTGCTGAAAGCAGGTCTGATCAGCCAGCCATGTCCCCATCCCATCAACCCGCCACCAATTTCGTTCGTTCCGATTCCCCAACCCTCACCACCACGGCATGCCGACCGAACAATCGAGATGCCAACTCAGACAGATGCGATACAGAAGGCGGGATGTCGAGTAGATCAGAGCCGTGGAGCAGAAATCATTATGGACTTGTAAACTGTCGACCATGCACCACCAAATGAGTGGCTGACAAAACCGTGTGTTTGTCACGAGGATTAGCACCCTGACAAATAAAGCATCTCCTCGAGTATAGGGGTATCGCTGTAGGGTGGGCCCCATGCAACGTCAAGACAACTGCATTAAGTTTGGTCCGATGCTCACATGATGTCCACATACCTGAGCACGAGGGAAACGGCAAAACAACCTCCAGCCCCTCTAAAGTTGACCTCCCCACAGGAAACTGCGTTCACTTGCCCAAAATGCGAGGGAATGCTGCGTCCGTGTTTGCATCTCTATTTGCGTGAGTGAGTGTTGTAACTAGTCTTGCAGAGCCTGAGCCTGAGCCTGAGCCTGAGCCTGTGAGTGACGGTGCGTGGGGGCCAGGTGCGGTGTGTCAAATTTGAGTGAGCAGTGAATGCGTGAGTGCATCCGCACGCAGCGGATGCAGTGGTGGCGGCGCGCTGTGGTGAGCCGCCTTGAAAACAAGAACTCGCACCCCAAGAGGGACAATTGGCATTGCGTCTCACGACGTGTCGGCTTAAAATTCCAATGATAGCGAGGTCGGTCCTGTCCGTGAAAGACACCCAAAGACACAATGCCGCCATCAGCGGTTTTCTTGTACCTTGGTACCACGGGATCTGCAGCAAGGGAATAAGGTGAGTAGAGCTGCCGGAATTGAACTGGATGGATTATCGTCCTACATGATCGGAACATCTTGACCGATTTGCACAATCTGCTTAGTGCTGCAGGATCGAGAGTGCACCCACCCCCCCCGGCCCCCCCCCCTACATCTCAAAGCTGGCCTAACTTATCCTATGCAGTAAGCTGATCTCTTCCAGCATCACTAAGCTCTCAGCAATGGAGGAATGCAAATACTCGTGTTCCAGACCCAAGTTGCGTTTCGGGACTTGCATGCTTTCGCAGCATGACTGCTGGCACTCGGCCGAGGAACGCCTCGGCAAAGCTGCTCTCTCAGGTACGACATGGATCTCCAGTCTTGCAGCCATTCGACTCACTGCCCATGTGTTCGAGTTTCCGCGTGTCAACCACACATGATAAGACAAAAGCCCGGAATCTTTCAAACGAAGCACTCTCGACACCCTGGTATTCCATGCTACAACCCTAAACATCCCTATGGGCTTTCGAGATGAGGTGAGCTCTGCAAACTCCCACAAGGTTGCTCAAGCTGTGCCCACTGCCTCAGCCATCTCTGCCACCAGCTCCTTACGCTTCCAAGGCTCAGGGTTGTGATTGGCTTGGGGTTTGAGTTTGAATCATGAAGATTGGTAGCAGCGCAGGCTCGAAACAGATGGGTGGATCAATGGAAAGTGCCCCCTTCATGGTGCGGGGGTTTCATGATAATCTAAAGCTGAGTTTAGCCTAGCTTTCAGCCTAGCTTTCAGCGGCCTCCAGGCTTGAACGACGCCCCAAGCTGTGAAGGATTCTGTTCTTCACACGATGCTTCGACTTAAAAAATCCCCCCGATTTAATGCGCTTCTCTCCTCCGGCCGCTTTCCGCCGCCAGCAGCTGCGATGCGGGGCTGCACGGAGAGGATGATGCCAAGGAACTTCCGTGCTTCCTAAGGAAGCAGCTTCCAGAAGTCGGGGGGTTTCAGCATCGAATGCAATCAGCTTTAACAAACTTCGGGAAGGTTGCACACTTTTGGAATTCGAGCTTCGTGAATCCTTGAACCCAGCAATTCCGTGTATTGCCCAAATTGATTACCCACCTCTGTCTGCGCGGTGATCTGCGCATTCGGGTGCAGCCCGAAAACCTGTTCCAAAGAATGCTAACCGTGAGACTCTCGGAGGTCTCGAAGAAAGAGCAGGAAATCACAACAACAAAGGATGAGAATCATCAAGCGTTGTACAATGTCATTCAGTCGGCTACAAAGGAATATAATCCAAACATAGACTGTGCCGACCCTCAGGTCTTTGTCTCCATTTCGACGACATGGGGCCCGCCCCGCCACTTAGGAGAACTTGGCACCACTTAGCTTTGTCCGTTTCGCGCGGAAGCTGCCACATAGGTGGGTAAGCTTATTGTCATGGAAAAACTGAAGCAGGAGATCTGGGCTTTTTGTTGCCCAACATAGACACGGCCGAATACTGTGCAAGCGACCAACAGGGAGGCCTTGCAGGATCACTGTCCTGAACTAATAGTGCGAGCATGACAAGGTAAACCCCGCAATCAGTCCCTCCAACAACTCCACAAACTGCGATTCCCTTCTCAGATCCTCTCAATCTCTGTCTCTCTGGGCGCCTGCGGATCCTCGTCGAAGGGTAAGTTGCGGACGTGCTCCCGGACCTACTCGGTCTCTTGATGTGTGGCCAGGCAAGGCGGCAAGATGCGGCAAGCCACCGAGTGATTACTTGCACAATGCACCCGGCCTCTTCTAAAGATCCCTCATTGGGGCCTTAGTGGGGTCCGGGATTTTTTCTGTATGGCAGCTCTCCGCAGCTCTCCAGACATCTCTTAGTTGAAGTTGAGCGGTTAGGTCAATAGCACTTTGGCGCTTGCACGCAGCCAGGGAACACGTGTAGGCATCGAGGGGGCTCAGCTGGTAGCCATCCTGAAGTACCTGCCAAAAAAACAACACTGTGAAGGCGATTATATATATATATATGTATATATGAACCCCCCCCCCCAGTATCAACACTTTTGGTAGTTGCGACCCATGAGCTCGTTTCACGGGCCGCAGTGCGGGTGTTGAATGAACAGGAGTCCGCATGCCATATGGGCGGGGGGAAAACAAAACATTTGTCGGACGGTTTCGGCCCAAGCCTTATACTACCTTACCCGTTGAACCTTATGACTGAAGCTTATTCGCATAATACTTAAGCCAAACCCTATTCCTAAACCTTATTCGTCTAAGATTTAGGGCCGAACCTTATTCGAGTAAGATTTAGTGAATAGAAAGAAAATTTAAGGGAAAACGATGAGTGAGCCTTTTCCCTCAGCAATGTCTTCACAGTGCAGAGCTTGCCTCCTGTGGCAGCGCAAAGAACATGTAGAATAACTACCCACATCGTGCATGTGTATATGCATGCATTGTATGTCACGTAGGGAAAATGGAAAGGGCGGGGGTCTTCAAACCATAAGACTAGGAAGTATTTGAGGGCATAGGGTAGTGCGAACAAGTCCAATAATGTATGTAGGCCCCAGGGAAGCGAGAATGCTGTGAGCAAATGTCCTATGCCTATATCCTTTCAGTATGTTCTGGGTTCTGCGCCTTCCCACGAGCCCGATTTACTCGCAAGCACGTGGATGTTCATCTCAATGTTTCCCAAAGGGTCTCACAAAGAGTTATCATGTCTCAAGGATAAAACTCACACATAAACTATCCTCAGTCTCCTTAGTGACTCAGAAACCCTACTCGTTCAAGGTTTTTTTTTCCAATGAGCATGACTGAGCTCCCGACGAACAAGAGTTAATTACAGGCTATACTATGCAATTCAACGTCAGTGAGACCAAACAAGAAAAGTTGAGACCTGCAGCTCCGTGTATCCGCGCAGAAGAGAAAATTTACTAAACACCGTATTTGACTAAGGCTTGGGGCCAGACCCTATTCCAAGATTTATACACACATATTGAAGGTTTAGGGACAGAAAAACCTGTTTTTGGCGAAAAAACCATTTTTCCTTAGTACAAGGGAGGGGGTTATCACACATCAGGCCGTGAAAATACACATCACCCCAATGTGGACGCTCATGCAAAGAATTACCCATCACGCGAGAGAATACACATCACAAGATACGAAACCCCAATGTGGACGCTATTTTTGGCTGTCAGCCACGGAGGCCTCAAACTCCACCCAACCTCGCGGACGCTTATGTTTCGGGCCATTTTTACATCAATCTGGCATACGTTTTGGCAGCAAATCTCGAAGGAGACGCTCGGTTTGTATCAACATACGGAACGTTGATCTTCGAAGCCTTTACTGGCCTTACACACCTGAGACCCGCAGCTGCTCAAGTGCACACTGCCTGCCTGCTGCCTGCTGCATGTGTCTGGCGGACCAAACCCTGCGACCGAGACCGGTTTTGATATAGAAAAAGTGCATTGGACCAGCTAGCACGGAAACGTCCTGCCAACTGCCTTAAACAAACTTGAAGCCGTGGTGGCAGCTTGGATCAGTGCCAAGTCTTGTCCAAAATGCAAACCCAATGTGGAGATTTGACGCAGGCGCTTCCTCCGACCATGGGCATGGGGTGGTTTGCATGCCAGACACCATTGTGGACGCTGCATAGGCTGAAAACTGGACGGCTAGGATCAGTGCCGGGTCCTGTGCGGGACCTGCAAGACCCCCAGTGTGGACGCCGAACGATGTGTATTTACACCACGCGATGTGAGATAACCCCCCCCCCCAGTAAAAGTTTTTTTTGGTCAAAAAAATAACATTTTCCTAGTAAAAAAAGGGTTTGGATCAGAGAAGTGTCTTTGCCCGGGAAAGCAAAAAACCAAGTTTTCTCTAGATCCTCCTGATTGCTCTGCAAAGTGCCCTTTATGGTGTTTGTTGCCAGTATCGGCGTGGCCAGGTCCGCGCATGAGTCGTGTGTTCGAGCTTAAGCCAAATAGAAAATATACAGTTGCTCACAAAAGCAGAAAGCGGTACATGGAAAGGGGTGGGTTCCACAGAAAAAAAGACGGTGGGTGCATGTGTCCAGAATCTGTATAGTCATGGTGAATATCCCAACAGACAGGGCACCCCTTCGTTGAAGTAGCGCTTCAAGAAGGCGCTGATGAGGCGAACGTCCTCTCGTCTTTGCTCCCGATGTTTTTGTCAATAGGGCTTGTTTGATGTTTGTTGGCTTCAAGCGCGTCCGAACGGCAAACGTTGGACCCCAAAAATCTCTTCGGCTGCATTTGCCGGAACCAAGGAGTCTGCGGGCTACGGGTGGAAACGTTGGGAGTAGCAGCGCAGCATGTTCGACGCAATCTGCCGGCCGCTCAGAGTCCTTGTCGTCAGTAACACGTCCTCCATAGTTGACCTGCCGCCATTAAGGTTTAGCACCGAATCGAATCTGAATCTGGTCCTACGGTTGGCGGGCAGAACCAAACATCTTTTCGGGCTTCTCATAACAACTGAGCTGTACTGGGCAAAGCCAGACAAGCAGAACTCGGCGTCAGCTGCTCTGGCGACTTCAAGGCCAAGGGCCAGCCAGTGCTGGCACTTTCTTTCTAGTAAGCCGAACTTGTTCAGTCATCTCCGCCACGAAACAGGTAGCAACCTGCACGGAACAGCGCAATGGACACACAGAGTCGCGATCAGTCACTTCATAAGTCAAAGTACACACCCTTGTCGCAGACCCTTTATGCGAATCATGCCAATAGCATCCAATAGCACTTCGAGGTGAATCCTTCATGTTCTGGCCTTGCCTAGGCCGATGGTGAGAGTGGTTGCCAATGTTCCGAGGACCTCATCCAGTAGTTCGGTTCAGCTCTTATCACGTGCTCTGATGGCATGTCCACGCCCAGGAAACGCCATCCAGATCGCGTGATCGTTGTGCGAGTTCATGAGGAGAGTCTACGCTGGAAGTTCGGAGTCGGATACGCCGGCCCATCTAGTGAGTGTCTAGTAAACTGACGGTGTTAGCATGAAGGTTTCGGATTTTTCAAAGTGCATTGAAAAGCCATGAGTTTTCGACCCAGGTCCTACTAAGACAGTGCAGTAAGTCAGTAAGGTGGGGCAACATAGACATAGCTCGTCAGCATGTAATCAGGATCTGCATTTGCAGGAGTTTCGGACACAAATAAGATCAGTTTGAAGTCCACTTTTAGCTTCCAGTCAGAGGAGGCAATGCAAAGAGCTGAAGATTCACACCCGCCGCAAAGCTTGCGAAGCTCAGCAAAGGTTGGGGCATCCGTTCAGACCAGGATGAAACATTACAGTAGCGATGGCATATAGCTCACAGTTGCAAGATGGAGCGCCCACTTCGAGATTCCAAATGCAATCTGATGTTTGCATGAGCAATCCTTCTGTCGACTTTATCTTCAGGTCAGATTTCGGATTCTCCCTGACCGGTCACTTCATCCGATGCTCGGCTTTAGCCTGGCAAAGCGCAAAAGATGTACCACTACAACGCAATGCTTGAGCTTGTTGAGACCAGCACCGCAGTTGTTGCCATGGCCTGCGCATGGTGCACTTTGAGTCGCTGACATGTTGCCCAAGGGTTTCATTGAGGCTTCGTGCCAAAGCATCTGAATGCATCAAGGCTGTGTCAAGATGCTCCAGCCGGACATCCGAGGCGCAGCAATGCACGACCTTCTGCTAATGTGCAGCTGATCCCCCACTAATTTGCTCAGCTTGTTCTGGTTTTGGCTCGAACCCTTGGTTATTTAGGGCCCCCCTTTAAACACAATTTTTTTGGTGTGCACACTTTTGAAAGCCCTATCCTTTGAAATTCCTAACCCTTGCTTCATCTCAACCTGTTCTATTGCTAAGCCCGTTTCAAAGCCCACTGAAATTCGCTCTCAAGCACAGGACCTGTGAGGAATTCGTTGTAGTTTATGAAGATGCCTCCGTGCATCTCGGCCGTAACTAATCCCGAGGCACGTTGTCAAGCTGGGGGCGGTACACGGGCGATCACGGCACCGGGACTTTCTTTGGGCCGGACCCTCGTTCTAAGAAGCGATTGCCGAACCTCCCCGATCAGAACCCGTTGTTTTCGACTCAACC